CTCTTGAAGCTCATGGAGAGAATGCCAAGAGTGTGCAAAGCAGTAATCAGAGCAAAGGGTGGCTATTTTGAAGAAACTAGAATATAAAACATGTTTTCAGTTATTTCACCTTTTTTTGTTAAGTACATAACTCCACATGTGTTCATTCATAGTTTTGATGCCTTCAGTGAGAATCTACAATGTAAATAGTCATGAAAATAAAGAAAACGCATTGAATGAGAAGGTGTGTCCAAACTTTTGGCCTGTACTGTATATATATATACGTATATGTATATATATATATATATATATATGTATATGTATATATATACACACACACAAACACACAGTTTTTTTTACTTTCATGGAATATATAATTATGTGAATGCTGAATATTTCCAGTGTTTACAGGCCCTAACCTCGTCACTCCCTACACGAACACACCAAGCTCAGCACAGCAGAGAGTGGGGAGTGACAATAATAACGGGATCCCACGTATAGAATAATGTCTATTTTCTGTATAATGTCTCTTTTCCTCTGTCTCTCACTTCCTCCATGCTGGCTCTCTCCGGCAGCAAGATTCACAAGATGAAGGGCTTTGTTACCATGGAGAAAGTGATTCTGAGCATCCTTCCAATGCTTTGGCAAGTCTCTTTCTGTCTGTCTGTCTGTCCTTTCTCTTGTTCACCTCCTCCTCATTCTGTCTTGGTCTGCATGCCTCATCCTGCTCCTTCTCTCAGCCTCCTGCAGTGCTGCTGTCCTGAGGAATGACAGCTAATACATACCACATGTAATAAACAACTGTGCAGTTTGACAGATGTAATTTAACCAGACTGGGTGATTCAGTGTTTTTGAAACTTGACCTACACCAGAGACTATAAATCAGAATATCTTAAACTCTGCTGTGTAAATGTAAAATACTTATTCACTGGAGCACTGGTATACTATTTATTTTCATGATATAGGGATATTATAGAAATATAAATCAACTATCTGGTAAAGTTTATTTACTTACTGACTTTACTGAGAGCTTAACATAATTCACACTTTTCGATGTAGCCTAATCCTTAACATTGCCTTAACGTTTTGAAATATTCCTGTGATATTTCTCTGTCCTCAGTGTTGTGTGTATACCTTGTGGTTTTATCCCCATTTATCTAATATTGCATTTATCATATAGTAAAATAAAGTATGAATGGAGAAGCTGTACACTCATGAAGTGATTTATTGACCTTTATTAGTTGGAATAAATGTCTGAGTGTATAGGTTTTTCATTCTGTGGTTTTGATGTCTGCCTGTGAACCAGCACCTCAGTAGAACAGGTGTGTGTGTTCCCTCAGTTATTTTCTTACATTTATTTATGATTTAGTAACCCCTGTTCTGTTGTAGCTACTCAACAGTGAGTTCATGATATCTTTCTTTCATCAGTCAGTTTATCAGTATAATATTAATATAGGAACTGTGTTTGTCCAGTCTCTGGACAGAAGGGGAGAGCAGACAAAATAGTCATTGAATGAGGTTTTTCTGTTTCCTGAGTGAAATTTCAAATAGCTGATTGGTTGTCTCCAGACTGATGAAAGGTCGTTTTCCGGGGCCCGGAATACTTTAATGTGTACATGCACAAGTGTGTGTAACTTTTAAAATTACATGCACAAATTTTATGTTTTTTTTCCAAGAACTAAAACCTTTTTTTACCCCAACGTTTGATGTATTTATTCCTTTTTCTCAGGTTCAATTCAATTCAATTCAATTGTATTGTATTTATGAAGCCGAATATCACTAATCACAATTTACAGCGTACGGCATCCCTCTGTCCCTCTGTCAGCGACCTCTGAAGGAAAAGGTTTATTGATTTAATTCATAGGAGTTTAAAAATGAGGACATTTAATGTGTTACACTATCATTTGAGCTGACTTACAGTACAGGCCAAAAGTTTGGACACACCTTCTCATTCAATGCGTTTTCTTTATTTTCATGACTATTTACATTGTAGATTCTCACTGAAGGCATCAAAACTATGAATGAACACATGTGGAGTTATGTACTTAACAAAAAAAGGTGAAATAACTGAAAACATGTTTTATATTCTAGTTTCTTCAAAATAGCCACCCTTTGCTCTGATTACTGCTTTGCACACTCTTGGCATTCTCTCCATGAGCTTCAAGAGGTAGTCACCTGAAATGGTTTCCACTTCACAGGTATGCCTTATCAGGGTTAATTAGTGGAATTTCTTGCTTTATCAATGGGGTTGGGACCATCAGTTGTGTTGTGCAGAAGTCAGGTTAATACACAGCCGACAGCCCTATTGGACAACTGTTAAAATTCATATTATGGCAAGAACCAATCAGCTAACTAAAAAAAAACGAGTGGCCATCATTACTTTAAGAAATGAAGGTCAGTCAGTCCGGAAAATTGCAAAAACTTTAAATGTGTCCCCAAGTGGAGTCACAAAAACCATCAAGCGCTACAACGAAACTGGCACACATGAGGACCGACCCAGGAAAGGAAGACCAAGAGTCACCTCTGCTTCTGAGGATAAGTTCATCCGAGTCACCAGCCTCAGAAATGGCAAGTTAACAGCAGCTCAGATCAGAGACCAGATGAATGCCACACAGAGTTCTAGCAGCAGACCCATCTCTAGAACAACTGTTAAGAGGAGACTGCGCGAATCAGGCCTTCATGGTCAAATAGCTGCTAGGAAACCACTGCTAAGGAGAGGCAACAAGCAGAAGAGATTTGTTTGGGCCAAGAAACACAAGGAATGGACATTAGACCAGTGGAAATCTGTGCTTTGGTCTGATGAGTCCAAATTTGAGATCTTTGGTTCCAACCGCCGTGTCTTTGTGAGACGCAGAAAAGGTGAACGGATGGATTCCACATGCCTGGTTCCCACTGTGAAGCATAGAGGAGGAGGTGTGATGGTGTGGGGGTGTTTTGCTGGTGACACTGTTGGGGATTTATTCAAAATTGAAGGCACACTGAACCAGCATGGCTACCACAGCATCCTGCAGCGACATGCCATCCCATCCGGTTTGCGTTTAGTTGGACGATCATTTATTTTTCAACAGGACAATGACCCCAAACACACCTCCAGGCTATGTAAGGGCTATTTGACCAAGAAGGAGAGTGATGGAGTGCTGCGGCAGATGACCTGGCCTCCACAGTCACCGGACCTGAACCCAATCGAGATGGTTTGGGGTGAGCTGGAGCGCAGAGTGAAGGCAAAGGGGCCAACAAGTGCTAAACACCTCTGGGAACTCCTTCAAGACTGTTGGAAAACCATTTCAGGTGACTACCTCTTGAAGCTCATGGAGAGAATGCCAAGAGTGTGCAAAGCAGTAATCAGAGCAAAGGGTGGCTATTTTGAAGAAACTAGAATATGAAACATGTTTTCAGTTATTTCACCTTTTTTTGTTAAGTACATAAGTCCACATGTGTTCATTCATAGTTTTGATGCCTTCAGTGAGAATCTACAATGTAAATAGTCATGAAAATAAAGAAAACGCATTGAATGAGAAGGTGTGTCCAAACTTTTGGCCTGTACTGTATGTTGCACTGCTACTGGACAGATTTTGAGTCTGATTAGTGAATGGCATTCTACTACATCTCCATTGTCAATCCATATATATGAAAGTATTATGTGTTCATGAGAGGTAAAGTGGCATAGTTAATTTCTTTGTCTTTGACTGGTGCATGCTCTCTAGCATGAAAAGTGTTTTTTCATCTAGTTTGCAGCAGGTGTCCTCTGAATACAGTTCCAGAGGGAGAAACCTTCAAGATAACCACTGGAAACCTGGTTTTCTGATAACTGCATGAGGTATCTCACTTTGGGAAGCACCTTTAGGCGTGACCAATCATGGAAGCTCCATTAACACCATGTCTGTTGGGAGACAGACCAATCATTTTCAGATGCACAGGCCAGTCCGTCCCCTTTTGCAAATGCCTGCCGCATCCCGCCTGCCATTCAGAAGCATATGTCTTTCATGTTGTGTGTTGTAGGATACCTCTATCTGTTATCACAGAACCAGGGTTATCCTGGTGACCTAAAGTTATCTTTTAAACCTCGCTTGGTATCACGCTTTGGAAGATAATGCCCACTCCTGAACTGCATGCTCCTTAGCCCATAACACCTCAACACACAAAGGTCGACACCACAAGCCCAGCCCATCAGCTAGCACACAGTTAACCATGAACCCACACTCATGACTGAGTGGACCAGTGAGGGCACAGTGGCATCCAGGGGGTAATACCGAAAAAATGTGTGTGTCCCTCACAGAAATGCCCCTGAGCTGGGCCCATTTGGTGGCCATACTCCTGGTGGAGTGAGCCCGCAGTTACAGCCTCCACCACCTAGTAAGACATCTTGACAAGAAGGCAGGATCTTGCCATCGTATAAATCTCTCTCCGGCCCTTGTCATCCAGTGATGTGGGCCAAGTCAACTTATTAACTTAGTCGCTACTTGTCTACACACCTTGTGTAATATGACTTCCTGGGGAGCAGGCTGTGCCTCCCTTCCAATGGAGCTGCTGGACCGCGACTGAGCCGGGGTAAGGATGGCATCCTCATCATTCTCCCAATACTAATTGCCAAGGACAACCAGGTTAACCTCATCCTTGTTGTTTTCTCTGTCACCACCCTCTGACTTGAGGACTTGGCTTCTCTCTAGGCTTGGCCACAGTGTTGGAGAGGCAAGGGTCGGCTTTTGAGACCGACCTACACTCTCAAGCAGCATTCAAGAATCCTCACTGAAATGGTACAGCAGTGCCCACAGGACTCTATGTCTTTGAGCGAAGCCTGGGCATGTTTCACTCTCATACATGTAATGCAGAGAGGATGTGGGTCTCTCCCCAATATGGTGACTCCACATGCAGCTGGGCAAGGGCAGGACTCATCGTCCTAAACCTTGCCACCACCCGTGTTCCCCCTAGAGGATAGGGGAACAGACATATACAGCTCACCTAAACATGCTAGCTTGTTTCGTTAAGCCCTGTTCAGACCAATGATTCGCGGCATTTTAGAATATTGCAGAGCAAAGCTGCAGCAGTGTGAAGTGGCTGGTGCTGAGCTCAACACAAGCCAGTTGAATGAAAATCCATCATCAGGACAGCTAAAGAGCCTGTATGATCTGTACGGGGAACAAAGCAAAAGTGACAGTCTGGGTGCTGCAGGCATTTGTAAAGGGGGACGGACTGACCCTTGCATCCTTAGATGGTTGGTCTGTTCTCAGACAGATGTGGTATTACTAAAGTTTCCATGATTGGTCACACCTGAAGGTACCTCCCATTGTGAGATACTGAGCAAGGTTTGAAAGAGAACTGAAGATAAAAGCTCATCTTGACAGACATTTATTTAGTTTTTAGTGGTCATCGCTGACTACTTCTCAGTAAAACCTCATCAGCAGCATGCTCAGTAATACTGGTGTAGGTGTCAGTGGTCCAGGTCTGCCTGCTGGTCCATGCTGGGTGTTATGGTCCCACTGACAGGTCTGTGTTCTCTACAGAACCTTCCAGCTTTGAGATACGGGGCGCAGGCCACAATGTTTCAGAATCAGGTTCCTCTGCTACCAGGAGAGACTATTCAGACCACAGGTAGGTGCACCTCACCTGTCCCTCACCCCTGTGTCCATATTCATCGTGTGTACTATGTAGGAGGCAGTATATATTTGAAAACATCACAGTGAATGTACATATTAATGACCTGTCCATAGATCAATAACTTTATTTCTTTGTGTGTGTGTGTGCATGCTGACGTGCAGTCAAGGATGTAATGTATATCTGTCCGTTCAGTGGTCTGGTTAATGGAACCCTGACCATCACAGACTACAAGCTCTACTTCTCCAGTGTGGAAAGGGTACCTCAGATTTCATTTATTATTCAGTACATTTAACTCACAATCACAGGACTGTAGTCTCTCTGTAGCACTGTGTGTCTTTGCAGCTGTTTGATTATGTCCGTCTGTGCTCATCCAGGAGTCTCCGTTTGTTCTTGATGTGAACCTGGGAGTCATCAGCAGACTGGAGACCATCAGCGTTCCCAACCAGGGAGAGAACACCAAAGGACTGGAGCTGGTCTGCAAGGTACCACAGAATAATCTCATCCTTTCAGCCATAACTGTGATGAGCCTGTAGTGACACTGATGGTTGATGTTCGGATGTTCTGTTCTGCATCAGGACATGAGGAGTCCCAGGTTTGCTTATAAGACAGAGGAGAGCCATCCAGATGTGGTGGAGCTGCTGGCCAAACACGCCTTCCCCCTCTCCCACAGCCTGGTAGGCCTTATTCAGATGTCTTCATTAATGTTGGCTACAAATAACATTTTTGTGTACTGTAAGCTCCATATGTTGTATTAGTGTGATCTCTATGACAAGTGTTAGAATGATAACATAGGCTTGTTGTAGTAATTGCAATTTAACAGTGTACACTTGTTCAATTGAATCTACAATAAGGCTTTTTTTAATTGATAGGTGCCCCAAAAAGAACCAGTGTAGCCCAGTGTACCAACATTTCACAATCTTTGGTAGCACAGAAGAGAAAAAAAAGTTTGGCTGGCTTGGGTGTGGGCCATCTCATATTGTTCTCGATAAGTATAATTTTTTACGAGGAAAAAAAAAGTATATCATGATAATGACGACATTCCGACCACCTGCTCCACCAGGTTAACATCAATAATTGAGTTAATTAAATTAAAAATTTAGAAAGATCCTAAAGAGGCTCTGTCGTCTAGTTTAGGAGGGCAGGAGGGAGGAACACTATTGTGCAAATTTTTCCACTAAATGATTGCTGCTAAATGTAGCAGTAGCACAAATCTATTCCATCAGTTAAAACACCACCCAGTGCAGAACACTGCAGCCTCCAATTCCAAAAAGACAGTCACACCCCCAACATGTATATACTAGGCATTATGGTAAGAACATGGAAGAAGTCACTTCCAAAAAAGCAACCTTCCATTGAACGTGATAGGCAATCTTTTATTCATCCAAGAAATCAGTCAGACAGCCTATCAGTTATAAATCAGTAAATAAAAATAAATAAATAATACACATGCACACACACACACACACACACACACATATTTACATTATTACTATTTACATTGTAGATTCTCACTGAAGGCATCAAAACTATGAATGAACACATGTGGAGTTATGTACTTAACAAAAAAAGGTGAAATAACTGAAAACATGTTTTATATTCTAGTTTCTTCAAAATAGCCACCCTTTGCTCTGATTACTGCTTTGCACACTCTTGGCATTCTCTCCATGAGCTTCAAGAGGTAGTCACCTGAAATGGTTTTCCAACAGTCTTGAAGGAGTTCCCAGAGGTGTTTAGCACTTGTTGGCCCCTTTGCCTTCACTCTGCGGTCCAGCTCACCCCAAACCATCTCGATTGGGTTCAGGTCCGGTGACTGTGGAGGCCAGGTCATCTGCCGCAGCACTCCATCACTCTCCTTCTTGGTCAAATAGCCCTTACACAGCCTGGAGGTGTGTTTGGGGTCATTGTCCTGTTGAAAAATAAATGAT